GCAATTACACACAGCGCCCACACATCCGAACTCCGTAGGTACCGTCCGACTACTTTTTGGGTACGGAGTACGGAGTACTGCGTAAGGCACGTACGTACTATGGATTGTCGCTTCTCAGAGCCTCTGAGGTCATGATGTTTTCTTTCTCATGCTCGTCAGCCATGACCACAACGAAGTCTTACTTACCCGATGCAACTTCACCAATCCAACAAGCCATCAAATGCCTTGTCTTGCTCCCGCCTGTCTCTCCTCTCTCTCCAAGTCCCAAGTCTCACAGGACCAGCAGAAGAAAAGAAAGTCAACAGGGTTTCGTGCCGGTCCATGTCATGCCTTTCCCCTCCTTCCCCTGATCCTGAGCCATCCGCTGCCCAAGGCACCGCGAGCTATGAGATCACAAATAGCTTCTCGAGTCCCTCTTCAAATTGAGACCTGCACCTCTCATTCGGCATCTCCCTGCCAGTCCCTGAACCTGAACCTGAGCCTGCAAGGCCCTCGTGGCCCTCTTGCTCGGCTGTAACCTGTATCCGTGGATAGGTAGGCCATTGATGATGTCCATGTTCATCTCTCAGATGCACATCCATAGTGCCTCGCTTGATTCGCCCACTGGCACATCACCGTCTTTGCCGTAGTCCAACTGTCGGCGCCAATCACCATCTTCTTGTCAGACACTAGCAAAGTGACCCGAGATGTGGCTTCTTTAGCCCAGAAACCTTCGCTACCAGGCCAAATCGCCAGTCCGTCACAAATTTTCTCCATAGCACTGGCCACGCGACAAGGGGGGCATCTATGCAAGGGCCACGCCCAATCAGCTTCTCCCACAAACCACTCGACGACGAGGGGCACCCAAGGGAAGCATTGCTTGGTCCACCGTCCGATAGCTGAAAGGTCCCAGGCACACAGGCACGATAGGCTGAAGGGTCCCTGAGACGGGGAAGGCCAAGCCTCGACTCGAGGGCTTAATAACGGACGACTCCTCTTGAACCCCTGGATGCGCTGGAGCTTGCTGGGAATGGCCCAGGGACGGAAACATTGGCCGAGCTGTGAATCTGTGAGGCAGGCGGCGGCGGCGGCGGGAATGCGGGTAGGCGGGCATTGATTGTCACGGTCCCATCCAGCTGAACACTCTTAATATTGCCATGCCCACGAGACCAAGCAGTATCAGGAGGTTGGCTCGCACTTTGTAGAATAAGAATCGACAGTCTTTGATAAACCCAGAGCTCCGTTCGTGCATCACAATCTGGTCTTTTCATCTTCAGCTGCTCCTGATTCCTGAGATAAATGATTAGTATGTCAAGTCCGTGTGAACCTGTAAAGCAGTCCGCAAATATGAGCACACTCTGTCGCCTAGCAAAACGTCGCATCGTCTTTGAACGTGCAGACTTCCTTGGGGTTTGATCCGGTCAAATTCATGCTCATGCAGACGCAACAGCGGGCTGCCGTGCGGCCCCCGATGGCATTTTCTGACTCCGTTGGCCGACCAAAAGAAACGGGCGATGTGTCACGTCGACGCCAGGCGGCCCAAATATCCATACATAATACGGAGTACGTTACCGTGGAAATGTGTTGACGACCAACGGGCAGCAACTGAAGTTAGAATGGGCGAGACTTGCTGCCCGAGAACCATTTCGCTTCCCGATGCTGATGCCCGCAGGCTGCGGCACATGCAGGATGATTGCCGCTGGTATTGTCCGCTGCACGTGTGGCCTGGAAATATCCGAATACATCAATCCCAGTTCACGCTTCAAATGAGCCAGCATCGAATGCCGTCGATCGACAGTTCTCGACTTAACGCTGTCATATCTCGCAACCGTCGCAATGGCGTCTTGCATTTTTCTGCAAGCAGCCAGTGGTTGAGAGCGTCTGTAATAGTTTTTTCTGACCATTCATGACCATTTGATGAAGTTGACTGCCATCGAGGACGCCGTTGACCCTGTCGGCCCTGACCGCGTGATGGCATCGCATTCAATACGTGGGTTTAATCACCAACGCCAGGTGCCCCAGCCTGGCTTGCCAAGGTGAGATCATGGTGAAGGTGAGAAAAGAAAGTAATGGACGGTAATGCTCGGCACTCGCGGTGGAGCAGGTGATTGAAAGACAACTTGTCGAGGGTTTCAACTCTGCCACGCTTGTACGAGAAACGAGCCATGGCGAAGAAATCGATGGTACTGCCAGTCCAAAGTCGTTCGCAGAGACTGGCTCCCTTTTAAGGAGGCAACGCTGGCTCATTATTCGGTTGAATCTGCACCGCTTGCCATTCTCGCGAGTACCACTCGAACCCTAGGACATTGGCTCTGGCCACAATTCGATGATGCTAATCGCTTATTTTGCTTCTATTTTCATCAGCAAACACGGGCATGGGGGTGGAGCGCCGCCTGCAGGCAAAGAAGCGGCCCAGGTAGGATCAGAGTGGGTATCCGCCGGTGGTGGAGAGCCAGGACTGGCGTGAAGGTCCGAGACCGAAGCTGCGGTGAAACCCTCCAAACCGCCCGGAGAGGCCAGCTGTCCCGTAATCTAGGCCCGGTGCCTTTGCTGGATCGCTAGCAAAGAGGTCCGGTGATTGTTTCGGATGCTGATCCGGTCTCACTACGGCAGTGACGGCGTGGCTCACCACCATGGCTAGAGGGAAAAGCTGAGGCAGACAGTGGCGATCTCTCTCTCCTTCATGTTATCGCCGGCCGGCATCATGGAAGCAGCGGACTTTGGGACGGGCCCGGCGCACCGTGATGCCGTCGACTGTTGGGCTCCACTCCACGGACAGTGTGCAGACAGGGACGGCCGGGAGAGTTGGGGTGGTGGGTGGTTGAGACAGCGGGCCTATTGAGGCACACAGGTTCCGCGTATTCGTGTTCGGTTTTGGATTCTCTACCAGTCCGATAGGTATCCCAGTTGACAGTAAAACGCCTCGCCGTTGATGATCATCATACCTACGCGAACACAATACGTCGACTCCCGAGATGAAGGCTTTGGAGAAAACGTGTTCGAGAAGCATTGAGGTACGGCCCGCGTGGATCACCGCTGCGCCCTGGCGCCGCTCGGAGTGATCTGAGATTGTTAGGCCGAGTCGCCGTGTCATTAAGCAGAAGCTTGGGTCGTCGGAGGCTTCGGCCGAAATAAATGTGGCTGTCATTGATGAAGACGTGGCCTGAAATGGACTGCGTCAGTTCCTTGCGACGGAACCCGAGGCACCGGGCAGCCGCGGAATGGGCCAGCGTTAAAGGCAACTCATGTATGTAGACTGATGGGAGAAGTCAACGGTGTCAGGACTGAGACAGGTGATGCAGAGTACTGCGTCGAGTACACTACAGATGCCAAGGAGCCGTCCGCACCCATACTCCATCCGTATGCAGTAGATCGTAGTACAGTAAAGGCGTATTCGTAGTTTCGAACGCAGTAGATAGTCAGTTGGGTATCCTCGTGCCAGAACTGACCGCAGCACCTAGAGTAAAGTCGTTGACTGTTGGAGTCGTTAACTGTTGGAGGCTTGGAGGACATGACACAACAACTGCCGTGGTGCCGTGGCGAGGCGGCATGAAGTGTGGGCTGGGCTCGTTATCGGTCTCGCGGGGTTTCCCTGCGCCAGCTTAGGCTTGTGGCAGTGACCATGTGGGCTACCGTCGTCACTCGTGTGCCAACCCAATCGAATGGTGTAGAAGCGGAGAAAGAGAATAGGAGAACGGGGACTGCTACTGCGGTGTCATCAACGATGAATGATTCAATGAACCACCCGAGTCAGACGCACCGTCCCCTTGTTGGCATACCGCAGGGTGAGATGTACTCCGTACGGGTAGGATAGTCCACTACCTACCTGGAGTGTTGGCGAGCTGTCCTGATTCCTGAATTCTTATTATGGACGTAGGAGCGGTCCGTCGACGCCTCATCAGACCACCTTTCAGAAGCTTGTAGTCTGTAGAGAACAGCGGTCTGTTCTTTACCATAGACGCTGTGAGAGTGTATGGTTGTGAGAGCTTACGGCCATGTGGTGTGGCTGGCAGCAAAAGAGAGTTGCTTGTTCGATGGTAGGCTTCTGCCGGTTTCCAGTCTACGATTGCCGTACCATGCAAAAAAGACTGCCCTGACCGTCAATAAGGTGGAAGCAGTGAGTGGAAGGTAAATCATAAAGTTTCCGCGGTGGGACCCAGGCGTGGAGATATCTCGGCACCGACCCCTCGGGATCCGCTGGTCGAAGCTCCAAGTCCGTCTTCTCCATTCTGAGTGGTTTACTCCAGAATGACTAAGCATATAACCGAGAAGACCGTGCGTCTGGCGTGTACGTATCGAATGTTTGGCGGGGGGACGGTACATGGCAGCGGCAAGAACCTAACACCACGCAGAAGGTAAGGGGTAGGTACTGTGTAGAGAGAACGGTGGAAGGTGCGGACTATTACCTGCCCAGGAATTGACCCGTGGTTTCCTCGTTCTCAGTCTTGGGGCGGACTACCAAGAATTATGGAAGAGGAAGGAAGAAAAGGCTGACAGTCCGCGCCGAAGCGGTGCGGTAGGGACACTCACTAGGTACCTTACCTTATGGAAGGCTGGAAGCTACCAAGGAGTACGTAGAGGAATTTCCCTTGCACAGAGGAAGGCACATATGGAAGGTACCTACTCCGTACAGACGGGAGGAAATTGAGCAATGGCTTTCCGCCGAGAGTGGGACAGAAAATGGAAGGAAGGCCAGCTCGCTTTCGACTCGGAACGGTCCTGCCAAATCCTGGAACCAGAGCTTGCCAAAACCGACCCGACTAGAAGGTGGAGAGCCCTTACTACGTAGGTTCCTTCCAGATTGCTCCAGGCTCTGAGGCGCGGAATGCATCCAAGTATCCGAACCTTTCCTTGCCTTCCTTGCCTTGCCTCATTACGAATATTCGTACATGACATTATTACACAGTAACATTGTTCCCCAAGGTAAGGTACTCCATTAGGCGGTTGTTCGCAAGGAAGAAGACCAAGTCAGCCCAGCGCAGTGTCCACTAGCCATGACCATCCCCGAGCCATGCCGTTGAATGCAACATGCCCGCCGGTCCCTTATCGCACTTCCGATCCAAAGTTCCGTCCGTTTCCTCGTGTGCTCCATGCGGCCTACCCGCCCCGGCCTGCGTGCTTGTCCCAGTGTCCTCATCAACTTGCGTCGAACGAGACGAGAGACTTCTGCAGCGCACCAACAAACCCCGTCGTCTCTTTTTACTTTCTCTTGGCCTTGCCCTCTCCGACCCTTACTCTTACTCTTATTCTCACTCCCTCCTTCTAAGCCCTTCTTCTCAAATTCCTCCAGCCTCCGCCGTTCCTATTTCTTCCCGCTGACTGTTCGTCCCGAATCCGCTTATTATTCACTATCCTTTCTCTTTCCTCTACTCCGTACCGCAGTCGGCGACATCTACGACGCAATACTCCCCGACACTCTCACACCTCACTTATTCTTCCTCCCGCGCTCTCCCACTATTCAGTCGTCCCAGGCTCAACTTTGCCTGTGTGGTTCCGCCCGTGCCTTTCCCAACTGGGGGTCTCGGCGTCCTTTGCACAGACCGGTAAGCCCAAGTATTCTTCTCCTTTGCCCGTGGACCCTAAACCCCCGTCACCCCATCCCAGTGCTTTGGTCTACCTACCTAGGTGTCAGCCTTTGGTAACACGCTGTACTATGTACACTACACTACCAAAATGGTTGCGCTGCGACTGGATACGACATACTGCGTATAGGTAGTGTACAGTGCAAGGTCAAGTCAGGCCGTCATTGGCGGCGCCGGGACTGCTGGCACTGGTGCGTGTCCGAAACTCGGCATCACACTGTTTCCACTCTCCCCGACCGACGGGCTAAATCCTGGGTCTGACGGTCTGACCAGACTTCCCTTCTGGTTTTACCCACATCTTCCTCCTCCTCCTCCTCCACCACCGCAATCCACCATCTCTTCCTCCCGGCCAATTGTCGAATCACCCCCGCTGATCCCATGTGAACACGATTGCAGTATTCCGCTCCGTACCTTACCTCACCTTACCTCACGAGGCTTGAATTTCTCCAACTTCCTCCAACAACCGCCACTTCCCGCGGCTGTTAGATCCCCCCCTAAATAGTCGCCTATTCACGGCTGTCAACTCGGCAATCCCACTCGCGTTTCTGGGTCGGTGATTCTTCATCTTCATCGCTCGCTTGCGACTTTTTTTACCTCCTTGCAGCAACCCCGCCAAACCTCCCTACTGCAACACAAACACCTCTCGCTGTCGCGCATCATCTCGGAATTGTCAGTGCTTCCGAGCCGCAACCCTTCCGAGCAGTCCAGTTGAGTCCGACGGCCCAACATGGCGGAACTCGACACGCTGGACATCGTCGTCCTGGCCGTCATCCTCTTGGGTACGGCCGCCTACTTCACAAAGGGCAAATACTGGGGAGTAGTCAAGGACCCCTATGCCAACGCCTTTGCCAACGCCAATGGCGCCAAGGCCGGCAAGACAAGAAACATCATCGAGAAGATGGATGAGTCGGGAAAGAACTGCATCGTCTTCTATGGATCCCAGACTGGTACCGCCGAGGACTACGCCTCGAGACTCGCAAAGGAAGGCAAGAGCCGCTTCGGTCTCGAGACCATGGTCGCCGACTTGGAGGACTACGACTACGATAACCTCGATTCCATCCCCAGCGACAAGGTCGTCATGTTTGTTCTCGCCACCTACGGTGAGGGCGAGCCCACCGATAACGCCGTCGATTTCTACGAATTCATCACCGGCGAGGACGTCTCCTTCTCCGAGGGCAACGACCCCGCCTTGGACAACCTCAACTTTGTCGCCTTCGGTCTCGGTAACAACACCTACGAGCACTACAATTCCATGGTTCGCAACGTCACAAAGGCTCTCGTGAAGCTCGGCGCACACAAGATCGGCGAGGCTGGCGAGGGTGACGATGGCGCCGGTACCATGGAAGAGGATTTCCTGGCCTGGAAGGACCCCATGTGGGCTGCTCTCGCCGAGAAGATGGGTCTGGAGGAGCGCGAGGCTGTCTACGAGCCCACCTTCAGCATTCTCGAGCGCGAGGGTCTCGACGCTTCGTCCGCCGAGGTCTACGTCGGAGAGCCGAACAAGATGCATCTTGAGGGTACCGCCAAGGGCCCCTTCAACGCCCACAACCCCTACATCGCCCCCATTGCCGAGTCCAAGGAGCTCTTCAGCGTCAAGGACAGAAACTGCCTGCACCTCGAAGTCGACATCAGCGGATCCAACTTGTCCTACCAGACCGGTGACCACATTGCCATCTGGCCCACGAACCCCGGTGAAGAGGTTGACCGCTTCCTTGACCTTGTCGGACTTACTGAGCAGAGACACTCGGTCGTCAGCGTCAAGGCCCTCGAGCCTACCGCCAAGGTCCCCTTCCCCACGCCCACCACCTACGATGCCATTGTTCGCTACCACCTCGAGATCTGCGCCCCCGTTTCCCGCCAGTTCATTTCCACCCTCGCCGCCTTCGCTCCCAGCGAAGACATCAAGGCCGAGATGGTCAAGCTCGGAGGCGACAAGGAGCTCTTCCACGAGAAGACTGGTGCTCACTTCTACAACATTGTTCGGTTCTTGGACTCTGTCAGCGGCGGTCAAAAGTGGACCAACATCCCCTTCTCCGCGTGGATTGAAGGCCTCACCAAGCTCCAGCCCCGTTACTACTCCATCTCCTCCTCGTCCCTGGTCCAGCCCAAGAAGATCTCCATTACCGCCGTGGTCGAGAACCAGACGATCCCTGGCCGCGGCGATCCGTTCCGTGGTGTCGCTACAAACTATCTCCTCGCTCTGAAGCAGAAGCAGAACAACGACCCCGAGCCTACCGCCTTTGGACTGACCTACGAGATTACTGGCCCCAGAAACAAGTACGACGGTATCCACGTGCCCGTCCACGTCCGCCATTCCAACTTCAAGCTGCCTTCCGATCCCTCCAAGCCCGTCATCTGCATTGGTCCCGGTACCGGTGCTGCCCCCTTCCGCGGTTTCATTCAGGAGAGAGCCAAGTTGGCTCGCGATGGCGCCGATGTTGGTCAGACGATTCTCTTCTTCGGATGCCGCAAGTCGACCGAGGACTTTTTGTACAAGGATGAGTGGGAGGTAAGCAAACTTCACAAGCAAGCTTTTGCACGTTCCATGACGCGAGGCTAACCATTGTAACAGCAATACAAGAAGGATCTCGGCGACAAGTTCGAACTCATCACCGCTTTCTCCCGCGAGGGCCCCAAGAAGGTCTACGTTCAGCACCGTCTCAAGGAGCGCTCCAAGGAGATCAACGAGCTTCTCGAGAAGAAGGCCTACTTCTACGTCTGTGGTGACGCCGCCAACATGGCTCGTGAGGTCAACACCGTTCTGGGCCAGATTCTGGCGGAGCAGCGTGGCATCTCTGAGGCCAAGGCCGAGGAGATTGTCAAGAACATGAGAGCAGCCAACCAATACCAGGTACGCCGGATTCTATATTCTCACAACAGCTTCGTGACCAATGCTAACAAATACCTCAGGAGGATGTCTGGTCATAGAGTCGGTCTGTCTTATGCGACACGGAGTATGGGATCTAGACGGAAAACGGAGAAGGCATCTACGCCCTCTTATAGAGGCGCGAAACTTTGTGCGTGCGTGGGATGTGTGTGTATAGATGTGCGCACGTCTTCTATATCAGCATAGGGCGGCGTATGTTGTGCATATTGGATCGGGATGACCGGAGTAATGTCTCGGGGAAACCCACACCTACCTAAACCCATCCCACCGACCTCTTTGCAGGCAGATCGCGCAGACGGGGTTCTTCTTTGAAACTATTCTACATTAAAGCAACGTTGGGCAGGCAGGCATGATGACGAGCGGACAAGGGGATTGGCTTGGTTGCTTGACTTGGGTTTTCAACTTGGCATATAACTTGTCTATTTTCTTGTTCCTATGCCGTTATCCTCTCGTCGCGTATGCCGCTGGACTGTCGGTTGGTCTTTTATTCTTTTGGAGTTTGTACTGCAGATAATGATTCGTTCAGAGTATAGACAGTTCATCTTCCAAAGTTCTCATGATGTGCCAAATGTGATGTACCATGAGCCCAGACACCCAAGTCTTTATATTGAAAAGCATTGTGGTATCTTGGGAATGACTACCGGGGTCCAACCAGACCGGGCCAAACTCAACCGAAGCCATCTGGTGCGGCCATCTGTGACGAGATGCTGGTGACACGGATAGTGGCAGCAATTTTACGGTCGCCATGGCGTGATTTGCCTTTGTGGTGGTTGATCTCTTCCCCTTCCTAATCGAGCAGGGACATATATCATCCTCTTCTTGACGCAAACTTGGGACCCCGTCACTTTTGGTCAGTAATCAATAATTGAATCGGAAAAGCTGGACAGATCGGGGAACACCAAGCCGCCGTCCTCCCGTGCCGCCGTGCGGCAGAGAATCAAATAATCCTTACCTCGCAATCAGTCAGCATATCCAACAACAGGTTCGAACACCCTGCCATAACCCCTCCCCCGGTTTCCCTGGACCAATCTGAACTTCCGACAAAAGACAAACCCGGAGTGGAGGAGGAAAGAGACACTGAGGTGGTGAACCAGGAACGGGGCAGAGACGTGATTCAATCCCCCTTCCCTCCCCCCACCCCGCAAACATCCCAAGATACGGATGGGCACTGCCTGCCGAGCGGAGGATCGACTCGGTGACCGGGGTCAGACGATGGCACTAAACCAGAAACTGCTCTCCGAGTGCGAGCTTTCGCTTCCCCTTCCCGTCCGTCTCCCCACGGCCTTATTTTACGGATACCGTCAACCACACGAGAGTCGTTGTCAAGGGCCAGGGCGCCGATGACGACCAACACACCTGCTGCCAATGCTGCTCCCCACGGGTGACTTTCTCGATCCGAACGGCGGCAACGGCGTCTCGGGTATCTCACACGATCAAGGAAAGACAAACAATGAGCAAACATGGGGGGGGGGGGGGGGGCTCGGAGGATCATTCACCTGCAGAATCTTGGAAGGAGGGGGGTGATAAGACGGCTGAGGCCAGATCCTCTCTCCATCTGCTCACAAAGAAACGTGATATCGCATCCCCCTCTCAATATTCTCCTCCGGCCGGGGCATCTTGCAGTGTTTGTGCGACTAAATTTCATCATCGCTTTGCCGGTTCTTAGAGGTTCGGCAGAAGCCGCGACTTGTCTTGGTGGTGGAGGAAAGAATCGAGACATGACAAGCCGGCATGACCTGCATGACGGCCGAAGCAAGGCGCAAAAACAAAAAGGCACTTTCAAGTCGGCGTGAGTGACTGACTGGCCTGCACTCCTTCGGATCATCGCCCATGTCTGAGCCCAATTTGCCGTCTTTCCACGACATGAGTGTCAGTCACCAATCGGTCTCATTGTCTGAGTTGAAACGGGCACCAAGGGAGTGTACTTTAATGAAAGTTGCGCAATCGAAACCGTCTGATTCGTGAGAGCAGAAAGGCTGGTGCGAAATGGGAACAACTTTCGAGAATCAAATGCTCCGTACGCCTGTAACGCCTTGCTTGCTGCAGGCTGCAGCAACAAGCCGATGTTTGCCTTTTGGTCCTGGTCTGCCGCTGCAAGATCCGATCTCCGCCCCAGCCAACCTGCAACCTTTGTCCTTGACAGCCCGGACTTTGCTTACCGCCATTTTGGACGACGGAGATCTCAAAGGATCCAGTCACATCGATTGTCGTTTTGCAGAAAAAAATTGGCTGCTCGATCCTCGACTCCAGAGTCCAGACACCGCTTGGCAGCCACAAGAGCAGGCAGTTCGTTCTGAGCTTCACACTACCCGCCCGAGCCTGGGTCTGATTTTCTGAAGCGATTCCTCTGGGCAAGTCCAAAAGTTCGGACCAGACGACGCGGTTGAAATTGTCATGAGAGCCGGGATGAGGAGCAGGTCGGCGAAAATGTGGAGGCTTTCATCACCACAGCTTCAGCCTCAACTCTTTTGCGACCTCACAGAAAGAGTGTTCCTCGCCATGGATATGAACCACCAAGAGGCCGCAAAAGAAACCAGAGGAGGGTCCCTTGCAAATCTGAGAGTCGAGTTCGTCTCGTCATGTGCGTGAAAAAGCGGCGCGGTCTTATGCCACCCACCCCACGACATTGCTTTTTCCTCGTCGGCACTAGCAGGGAACGAGCATGTTAGTCCTCGGTTCTGGGCCAAACACGCTTCGCCTTCTGGATGTGATTTCCATAGGTATTCTTCTGCTCCTTCTGTGGGTGTTCGCCGTTGGTTGTTGACGCCAGCACTGGGGCCTCGTGGCTCGACCGGGTTGTGATCTCTCGGAATGCCGTCAACGGGCAACGGCAGGCAGCCTCCCTGGCTGGTCGTTCGTCAGCACTGTTTCGAAAACACCAAGAAAGACACACCCGGAGAGAAGATATGAAATTCGCACAACCTCGGAGATGGCAACGACAGTATGCCCTGCGTATCGAAATTGGTCTCAGGTACCCGCCACGCCACGTCGGGTTACTCGACACTGCTGCCCGCGCCAACACTCCAGATCACGCCAGCCACAGACTATCGTGAGATGCAAGCCGCACACTTTCTAATCCGAACCCGGCTAGGTTCTGTTTCGTCTTCAAGTGAGTGATTCTCAACAAAAAAAGGAAAGCCAGGTCCCGCTTCGCTGGCTGTGGACGAACCGCCGTCTTCCGTTCCCCAAACTGCAGACATCCTCTGCTTAGAATCCAACACCTTCTTTGACAAGTTGGTTCAAAGACTTCATCTCAGAAGTTCTATGGATCCCTGATCCTGGGGCACCGAGACTTCCAGAAGTCAGCTGGCCAGTCAACGCCCAGTATACACCTCCGACGTGGTGGGTGGTGAGCATCGGGATGTCTGCCAAAGTGAGTGCTGAGTGCGTCGCGGTTGCCGGCAGCCATTGCCCCCCCCCCCCCCCCCCGTCGAACACACACATCCATGATGAGTATCGATCTCAGACTCAGGCACATCAGGTCACCCGCTGGGCCTAAGACTGGCCGCTTCAAAAAGAGAGACATCAGGCAGCCCGACTTTTTCTGAACCCTCGGCCGGACGGCCTCTCCTTCTCGACGCTAACCCTGTCTCAGAGATCAGTGGGAAGAAAAGAAACAAGTTGAGTGGATCAGCACTCTATGACAACCACGCTTGGCTGCAGGGCAAGGATAGCGGACTGCACAGAAACCGAAAGAGCAGCTTCCATAAAGACGAGCAGAGATCCCCTCTCAGCCGCCGGAGAATCGCCCCTATTTTCTTTCGAAATGGCAATCAGATAGATCTTCTCCTCTTATCCGACGACTTTTTTCGTGGTAGAATCGTTACCCTGGTATTCTTAGGACAAACGGACGGTGCATGACGGTTGCATTTTGATATCGGAGTTTCCTTGTCGGTTTGGGTACTTGCAGCTTCGTCTTTGGAGGCATTCGTTGAGGAACCGGTTCAACGCAGTCACTTCATTGCGAATTCCCCCGCAGACATCGATATCGTCGGCCAGTGACAGCTTGAAGGCGTTGGTTCTCGACAATCCAAAGGACAGCCTGGGCTGGAGTTCTGGAAACACGGTTTGGTCAGCCCCATGAATTCGCACTGCTTAGAGATACTAATACAACTTGCAGACTCGCTCAAATATTAGCGACATCCTTGGCGACAGATTTCTCAACGGTATCAGCACCTTTGGTTGATCGAGAATAGGCGCAGCGAACCAGGCAGCCGAAGGAAGACTATTCGCAGATCCAAAGAAGGGACCAACTCGCTATCTCCCCCGCAGCACGTCAAGCAGCAGCTACCGAGTATTGTCTTCTGCAAGAAGACAGGGTCGACCACTTTTCAGCAAAGCAGGAACATCACTCAAGATTGTGCGAGGCTTTCAACCGACGAAGGAAGAGCAAGGTGATATTGTCTATCGGTCATCGCCACGGCTTGCTCGAGGCAATCGTTCCGCTGTAGATCATCGTCGACTGTTTCCCTCTGCTGTGTAATTTCCCTCCTCAATTCAGGAGAGAACGTCGTCAGATCAACAACTTTTTGGAAGGCTTGAGACCTCGAACAGAAGGAAGAAGCAGTGAGAAGTAGAAGGAAAGGAAACTTGTCCCCACGTCCGGGCATCTTTCCAGTCGCACTTTTAGGTACGTCCCCTTTCTTCCTAGGGTACCTGAACCCCGTCAACCCTTATCGACAAGATGTTCCAAGCTGGAAGGCAGGAATGAGCTCTACCTCTTTGCTACGAGGAAGTTGCTAACATTGGGAAAGTAGTACGGCACATCTTCTAGTACTGGCAGCTGATACCCGCCGGGCCTTTCCCCCCGGTCCGAACTGACGGGGCCACCACTTTGCCTCCCGGGTGTCATCACCTTCTCTGCTTACATCGTCACTGGTCTTGTTCTTCCTCTCAAGCACATCATCTCTTTCCCACACTCAGACGCCTTTTCAACCTCTCCTTCCAGCCTTCAACAGATCCAACAAACGTGGGCTGCAAAGGAAGGTAAAGGAAAGGAAAGCATCCTTAGGTACGTCTCGTCATCTACTCGTCCTTTATCTTCTGCCAATGGCCCAACTTCGCTTTCGTTTCCTCCATCTTCTTCTCTCTTTTTCTTGACCACAGCATCACCACCACACTTCTTCAACCCACCACACAGTCTCTTTGACTCCGACTGCTCCCGATAGCTTGTTCCATCCTTTTAC